TTCGTCAGTTGGGATGATTATTCCCAATATATGGGTAAAAGACATGTTCCAAACCACCAATCAGAATAGTCTCATTTTTTTCAGGCATTCCCGGAATTAAACAGATCTGTAGTTGTATATGGCTCCCAGGTATACTATGCAGATCTCGAGTTTATGCCCATGGCTGCTGCTGCCATCTTTTCTGAACCTTAAGATGTTCTACCGCTGCCCGGGCTGGTTGGGACGAAGCATTTATTCTACTATTTGCGACGCTCAACTACAGGAAACCTATGGAAATATGTATATATATATAATTATATATATAATTTCAGTCTATTAGTAATCATCATACATCACCATCTATTACCATACATCACCATGCCTGGACCCTGCAAATACACCCAAATAATGGTAAAGGTATCACAGTTATGGGGTGGAACACAAATTTTAAAGGGTACTTTGGAGGGTCCAGGTACCTAAAAACATAGCATATCTGGTACCAGCTCAAGGACCGCGCTGGTTTCAGGCGTTCCGAGTTTGCAGCAACATTGGCTGCAAGGTTTTGAACCACCGCCTGGCATCAGGAGTCCATTAGCACAACTACAGCTTGTCTCAAAAGCGATATAGGAATAACACGCATGAAGTAATCACATGGAAGAATAATGGCCATATTGTGGAAAATATAGGAAATTCTGGAAAAACATTTCCATCACAAGGCCAAAAAAATACAGAAAGGCTTATTGAACACTCAAAAAACAATACTTTCACAAAATATATTCCATGAGCGGAAACAATATTGTTTTGTTGCTGTCCGTACGCAACAATAGTGAATAATGATGACAAATCAAATCAAATCAAATCAAATCAAATCAATATAAATCATCAAAATTGGTGCTACTCTATATGCAAACAAACTCACATCAGTCGTTCCTTTTTCCGGCAACCAATGGCGCGGCCCCAACGCTGCGGAGTCCAGTGCTAAAGACAATGTTTCAGGCGATGTGCTTCTTGAAAAGTCACCTGAGAGGGCAGCTCCAATCATGTCAACTCCCTCTGAGAGCATTGACAGCACATGCTAACTGTATCTAACTGTGCTCACTCACACCTGCCGCGAAATTGACCTGAAATCGAAATGCAACCAAGGCTTTCGCCGTTTGCATCTCTCGCAACCTGGAAATTGCTCGATCCACGGCAAAGCCGCTCTCTTTCAAGGAAGCAACGGCTGCCACAAAGACACCTGGCCCATTTCAGCAGGTGTTATTGCTGCTTGATGACACTCCACTTCTGAAAGCAGAGATTCGTCAGTTCCCATTTGGGTTCATCACTAGATTGTTGACATCACATGACACATCAATGAAGCCATTGATATACATCTGAAGAATGTGTATTTCACCACCTGTAGCCCTGCTACTTCCAGAGCCCTGATTTGGTTCTCTGACTGTCTGGCTTCGCAGTGGCTCATGTACATAAATATCCTTTACTTAAGTGCTACGTTTCACCAAGTGACTTGACAGTGAAACATTCCATACAAACAAATTAAATCTATTTCTCAAGACGTCGAACCACGATTCGTGGTGGATGGTGGTAGATTGCTGGCTGGCACCCAGCACCTTTGATGGCTTGCTGCTCAGAGGTCGGATCAGTAGATTCCCAGGTGAACTGAGAAATGCGGCGTCGGTCATCCCAGCCTTGATCGAAGAATTCCCACATCGGTGAAATACACCAGGTTTCTTGAGTGGAGCATGTGGGGGCCTAGTGCATGTTGTATTGTAATAATAGACTGTATACGTATATATGTATATAAAAATTATGATCGGTAATAATCGATAATACAGAGAACAAACACATGTGCTAATCAACACACACATATATATATATATATTAACAGAATCTAGACACCACCACCAACAACAACAAACAAGCAAACAAGCAAACAAGCAACCAAGCAACCAAGCAACCAAGCAACCAACCAACCAACCAACCAAAGAAACAAACAAACAAACAAACAAACAAACAACAAACAACAAACAACAAACAACAAACAACAACGGTCGGACGGCCTGTTCATGCGCGGCCGACTTGGTTTGTCATCTTTGGTGAGTCAGAAGTTTGGCTAGTTGAGCAAGAAGTCAGCGTCCTCCTGTGAAAAAGCTGTCTGAGGATGCCGAGCTAAAGTGCCGAGCCTGTGGGGTCTGTAAATCTCCAGTACTTTCAGCACAGTCATCAGGCCTGGTTTCAACAGAAGGCGTCTCGTGGCCAGCAAATCAATGTGATTGTTGGCTGGACTGCTCCTTCCATTTCGTCGATGGAGTGCTTCGCGGTAGCAGCAGGAATGCCTAGACGCGTCCAAGCTTTTCCAAGACCGGACCCTGGGTCAGAACACGCAATGAGTGAATTTGGCTTCAAATGTTTCCAGAAATGCGGCAAAAATTCTTCAGCTGTCTCACCTGCGCCGGGACCTCCCTTTTTGAAGGGTTTGGATTTCAGAGGTTTGACCACCACCTTTTTGCTTTCGCGACCTTTGATCACAAGGACTCTTCCAAGAGAAGTAGATTGGTCCTTCTTGGACCAGATTTTTTTTTTCAGTGCCTTATTCTTGCAACCTTTGCCAGGCGACTTCCTCTTTGTAAAGGTCACATCTCCACTTTTTTTCAGTTTCCCATGAGCTGCACCATCTGCTTCGACTAACTCCTGTGCAAATACAACTGCGTGATCAAGTTCACATGAACGTGATTGCCCCACACCACCCTACCCCACCCCACCCCACCCCAATGTGCAGCGTAGCATCAGCAACGTGATGAAGCCTCAACAACGTGATCAAGTTCACATGAACGTGATTGCCCCACCCCACCACACCCCAATGTGCAGCGTAGCAGCAGCAACGTCATGAAGCCTGAAAACACTGTAAAACCAAGGGAAATCGCAGATGGTGCAAAAAAACAAGAGTGCGAAAGCGCGAAAAACACTGTAAAAACCAGTGCAAATGGACAAAGGCAGAAAACATCACTCGAAGAAACAGTTGTTCCTGCCCCCCCCCAGGGCAGCATTGTCGAGAAGCAGAAAACACTGTAAAAAAACAGTAAAAAATGCACATTCAGCAGTGTGTCTGCGCGTGAACACCCCGTCGGAGGGCACAACAAACAACAAACAACAAACCAACCAACCAACCAACCAACCAACCAAGAAACAAACAAACAAAACAAAGCAAACAAAACAAATACAACAAAACAAAACAAAAAAACAAACAAACAACAAACCGCAAACAAACAAACAAACAAACAAACACCCAACAACAACAACAACAACAACCACAACAACAGCCACAAGAACCACAACCACAACAGCCACAACAGCCACAACAACCACAACAACCACAACAACCACTACAACCACAACCACAACCACAACCACAACCACAACCAAACAACAACAACCACAACAGCCACAACAACCACAACAACCACAACAACCGCTACAACCACAACAAACACAACCACAACCACAACCACAACCAAACAAACATCCAAACAACCAAGCAAAAACCGAACAACCAACCAAACAAACATCCAACCAACCGAACAACCAAACAACCAACCAACAGTAACCAACAGTAACCAACAGTGACCAACAGTAACCAACAGTAACCAACAGTAACCAACAGTGACCAACAGTAACCAACAGTAACCAACAGTAACCAACAGTAACCAACCGTAACCAACAGTAACCAACAGTAACCAACAGTAACCAACCAACCAAGCAACCAAGCAACAACCGAACAACCGAACAACCGAACAACCAACCAAACAACCAACCAACCAACCAACCAAGCAAGCAACCAAGCAACAACCGAACAACCAACCAACCAACCAACCAACCAACCAACTAACCAACCAACCAACCAACCAACTAACCAACCAACTAACCAACCAACCAACCAACCAACTAACCAACCAACTAACCAACCAACCAACTAACCAACCAACTAACCAACCAACTAACCAACCAACTAACCAACCAATCAAACAACCAACCAACTAACCAACCAACAAACCAACCAACTAGCCAACCAACCAACCAACTAACCAACCAACAAACCAACCAACCAACTAACCAACCAACTAACCAACCAACTAACCAATCAACCAAACAACCAACCAACCAACCAACCAACTAACCAACCAACTAACCAACCAACCAAACAACCAACCAACCAACCAACTAACCAACACACTAACCAACCAACCAACCAACTAACCAACCAACCAACTAACCAACCAACTAACCAACCAACCAACAACACAAACAACCAACCAACCCTCCAACCAACCAACCACCCCAAAACAACCTCTCACCCACAACCAACCAACCTTCCAAGCCAACCACCCAACTAACCCACCACCTACCCAACCAATCTAACACCACTACCCACCAACTAACCAACCCCCACTACACCCACCACTCACCAACCAACCAACCAACTAACCAACCACCACACAACCCCCCACCAACTAACCAACTCCACTAACGCACCACTCCCACCCCACCAACTAACCAACCAACTCCCCCCCCCCTAACACCCCACACAAACAACCAACCAACCAACCTATCAAGCAACCAGCAACCAGCAACAACCAACCACCGACAACCAACCAACCAACCAACCAACAAACAACCAACCAACCAACCAACCAAGCAACCAGCAACCAAGCAGACCAAGCAACAACGAACAAACCGAACAACCAAACCAACAACCAACCAACCAACCAACTAACCAACCAACTAACCAACCAACCAAACAACCAAACAACCAACCAACCAGCCAACCAACCAACCAACCAAACAACCGAACAACCAAACAACCAACCAACCATCCAACCAACCAACCAACTAACCAACCAACTAACCAACCAACTAACCAACCAACTAACCAACCAACTAACCAACCAACTAACCAACCAACTAACCAACCAACCAACCAACTAACCAACCAACCAAAC